TATATGTATATGTATATGTATATGTATATGTATATGTATATGTATATGTATATGTATATGTATATGTATACTAGCCCTGGGCTTTCATTGCTATAAGGAGCTCCTAGTTAGTAGATTTTCTGAAGTAACGCAGATTGGCCCCTTCTCTGTAATACGTGGTTTTAGAGAGTGGTCTGGGGAAACTGAGAAGTGGCATGCGGTGGGTCATTCTTAGTGACCCTTCCGTGAGAGATGGGACTACTACGTCCCAGGTCTTCTCCAGTTCTCAACTCACTACATCCAGATCAAATTCAGATCTCAGCCAGGTGTTATCAGGAGATAACTGATTAAATTCGTCTATTGAAAACCAGGATTAGGGGCAGCTAGCTGAGGCAGTGGATACGGTGCCAAGCCTGCAGTCAGGAAGACTCTTCTTTCTGATTTCAAATCGGGCTTCAGACATCCGCTAGCTGCGTGACCCTGGGCAAGTCACTTAACTCTGTTTGCCTCAGTTTGTTCATCTGCAAAATGAGCTGGGGGAAAAAATGGCAAACCACTCTAGGATTTTTGCCAAAAAAACCCCAAATGGGGTCAGGAGGAGTCAGATATGACTGAAAACCGAGAGTAAACTACGAATGGTTAGAAGCCAGTCTAACCTAAGGGGCACCAGAACCCTAGAAGGCAGGGCGCTTCTGGTCCTGCCCGCCCCTGGAGTCGAGCCCCGCTTCCCGCCCCGGACGAAATGGATTCCCCTGGCTCAGCACTACAGCGCGCATGTGCGCCCAGGCCGACGCGCGGGCACCAACCGGCTCCCCGCTTCTTCCTCCCGCGCCCTTCCCCCACTTTCCCGGCTCACACACCTGCTACCGGAACGACAAGCTCGGCTCACCGGAAGTGCGAGCTGCGGCGTGGTCCCGCCCCTTCCTGCCTGGCCAGGGCCCCGCCCCCGCATTGACGTGCAGAACTGCTGCTTCTCAGGCCCGCGAGAGGGCGTGTTGATTGACACATCCTGCCTCGTTTTTACCTCCAAATGAAAAATTTTGAAGAAATGAAGCTTGTTTTTTATTAAAATTCCACAGTATACGGGCCTTTCCTCGCCTTTTGAAGGGATGTGACTAGCGTAGCACAAAATATATAATTTAAATTTTTTTTTTTTGGCTAGGCAAAGGGGTAAGTTACTTGCCCAGAGTCACACAGCTAGTAAGTGTTATGTGTCTGAGGTCACATTTGAACTCAGGTCCTCCTGAATCCAGTGCTGGTGCTCTATCCACTGCGACACCTAACTGCCCCCAATAATTTAATATTTATAAAGTGCTTTGCAAACCTTCATCAAGGCTAGCTATTATCATTATTTTTATTTTATTCCAGAAGCCTGTCTTTTCCCCCATTTTGTGAGAGATTAGGAAGGATGCAGTTTGCATTAGATTGGTAATAACTGAGGAAAATCAAGTTTTATTAGGCACTACTAATAATAGCTAATGTTTTTTTCTCTTTCAAAATTTTTATTATTTTTTTAACATTCAGTTTTTAAAAATTTTTTTAGTTCCAAGTTCTCTCCTTCTTGCCCCTCTGCCACTTGACCCCAGCCACTGAGAAGGAAAGCAATATAATATCAGTTATACATGTAAAGTCATGCAAAACATGTTTCTATATAAAAAAGCTAACATTTATATAGCACTTACTATGTACTGGGAAGGGTTACTTTATAAATGACTTTGAATGCCAAAGAGAGAACTTCACATTAGATCCTGGAAGTGATATGAAGCCAGCGAGTTTACTAAAAGGCGGGAATGGGACCATGGAGTACACAGAAGACAGGCAATAGAGGCAAGAAGGCATGGACTGAAGTTTTGCTTCTGACAGTGGTTGGCTGTGGGACCTGGGCAAATCCCTTAATCTCTAGTCAACTCTCTAAGGAAAGTTCGTAACTTGAGGTCAAGTGAACTTGTTTGGGTTTTTTTAAAGGTTGATAATAAATTGGTTCCATTTGTGATTCTATGTATTGTGTTTTATGCATTTAAAAATACTATTCTGAGAAGAGGTCCATGACACACAAAAATAGTTAAGGACCCCTACTCTAAAATTATAAATTATAGACTAATTACCAGTTCATAACAGTGGAAGTTCCCCATACTTAGGAAAGAACATTGTCAAACCAGAAAATACATATGTATGTGTGTTCATGTGTATCCCATGCTCTGGAATGACTATCCCAACTCTCACTTGCTCTGATGAGTCAGGTCCCCAGAACATGACTACTATGACCCCCACCAGAATTCTAGGGGTAGATCTGAGGGCTTTTTTTTTTGTCTGAGGGGGGTGTTTCTTAGTGTTACTACTCATAAGTTCCTATTGATGAGCTTCCTTCCATGATTATGAGTTGATTAACAGTCAGCCAGACTTAATTAGCATTTAGAAAAAAGATATTTACCAAGGTGGCATTGTAATAGCAATTGGTACAAAACAGGCCCCAGCAAAAGTCACACTCTTCCACAAGTACATACAGAATCTGAGGAAAAGTGGGTTCACAATTAAAAAAACTCATGGCAAAAAGGTAATTCACAGCATAAGGTGCTCAAGGAGTTTCCCTTGAGCTTGGTGAGTCTTCTTTTCTGGGATCCTTATGGAGCTGCCAATCTTTTCTCCAGTCTGTCCTTGGCCTTCAGTGCAGAAACTGATGACAATAATAATAAGGACGCTGCCAGGATCTGATGGAAATTTCTTCAGATCTCCAAAGTTCACAGGGTCCTTCTATGGCCACGGCTGGGGAAGTGATAGAGCAGATCTACTCAACTTGGCAGTAGGATTGGGGCAAAAATTAAAATAGGCTAAACTTCTTCAGGCAGCAGATAGGTTTTTAGCGGCTCACTTTCCAAATAAAGGTATAAATAATGATTAAACTATTTTGCAAATAAACCATATTTTTTAAAATGGGAATTTCAATTAATATAAATTAATTACACTTATTACTTAAGATTTTTATTTATCATGAAATCTATCCTCTCAGACTAGAGACAGACTAACAAAAGTTGGTTGCCATGGTCATATGATAAACAGGAGAGAGTTTGGCAACGCACTCGCCAAGTTACATGATAGGCACAATAGTGACTAGTGGAAGACAGATTAAGTGGGGGACGGACAAAGCACTCATTACACCGTTACTTTCTTTTACATGCTCTACATTTTTCTCAGGTCACCTGAAATCCTTATGTTTTGCAGGCCTGGGATAGAGGAAGGAGGTTAAGACTGAGGTGTTTTCCTCCTCACTCCCCAAAACAGATTTCTTCCTAGAAGTGGTACTTTCACATTTCTACTTTATGCTGTATGTCAAATTTCCCTCTGGCTGAACTGCCTTGATATTTTATAAAAGACCCCTAGAGTGTGATGAAGTTTCTTTAGCCAAATTGAACACTCACCCCATGCAACATCACTTCCAGTTCATCCAATGGCCAGAGACATCTAAATTGGTCAAGGCGTTCACACACTTAGTTGGAATGCCTTTAATTGCTCTGATTCAATAAAGCTATATTCCCGTTTGTTTAAGCTACTAGGGCAAACCATTTTATCATTTGGGTTAAGTGGGGTGGGGTAAGTTCATTGCTTACCTCCATCAACCCCCTACTCTTTGCATATATTCAAGATAGTTGGAAATACCAAGGAGCTAAAAAACCTTCCTGCCATTAAGGAGCTTATATTCTGTTGTTGGAAGGGGACTAAACTTAGTGTTGATGGAGTTGTGGGCTACCAACCCCTCAACTGCCCAGGGTCAGGAGAACAGCAGTGGTACTAATATGCAACTATTTCTGTGGACTCAGTAGCATATTAATAAGTTACTTTGAAAAGAAAAGCAACAAGGATTTCTTTTAAACCCCCACTAGAAACTGTGATCTATTCAATTTAACAAGCATTAATTAAACACTATGAGCAAGACATTGTGAAAGGAGCTGGCAATACAGAAGGGGGAAAAAATTATTTCAGGCTGTGCCTTTAAAGAGCTTACATTCTACTGGGGTATACAAACATATGGTGTCTACTCTAGGTAAACACAAAGCAATTTGAGGAAGGAGAGAGCATTAAAAACCAGGGCCTCACAAAGGATGTGGTTGGTAAGCTGGTTCTTGAAAGAAGCTGAGGATTCTAAGAGGCAGAAGTGAGAAAGGAAGCATTTTCCAAACATAAATAATGTATGCAAAGACACTGGGCCAGGAAATAAGCTATTACTAACTTTAGCACTTTCCTATGTGAACAGTTTGGTTGCTGAAATGGGTAGAAAAAGAAATTTGGTGCACGGAAAAAAGGATGAAATCTACTTTTGAAGAAACTCCTTCTCAGATAAAATGTAAAGGGGAACAGTTAGGAGGACTGGACAGAAAATTGCTCTCCAGATGAAACAACTTCTTTGAAGGTAGAGATGGCTACAGGACACTGTGGTCCATCAATTCATTTGCATGTGAGCATTTTCAGTTGAGCAAGTCTTCAAAAAATAACTGTTTAGAGACCAGGGGAAGATTAAAAATAAAGTATTGGGTTCATGTTGAACAGAAAGGTAGATTTAGTTTTTGATATGTATGAGTTTTACATCATAAGGTAAATTAAAGGTAGATACGGGTTTTATATCATAAGATAAAAATGAGTCACTGACCACTAGTATTCCCTGATTTGAGGAATGAGAACAAGGGAAAAGCCACGTGTTAAGTAGCTACAAGGAGAGTAAGCTGATAAGGAAAGCCTCAGCTGGTTTGCTTCTGAGTCTGTTAATTGGTGGAGAGACATTGTTTTGTTATTTGGCTGGAAGAATCTCCAGGAAACTTATTAAGAAAACTGAATTCTGCTGCTGTTTGGCACCAGCTTTCGAGAGGGGAATCTCTCAGGGCTACCTGGTTGCTCTCTATTGCCTTTATGGTGGGAGTGGAAGAAACAAAGGGAGAAGAAAATAGTCTTTTTTTTTTTAACTTGATAATTAATTTATTTATTTTTAGTTTTCAACATTCACTTCCATAAGCTTTTGAGTTTTAAATTTTCTTCCTCTCCCATTCTTCTCCCCCACCCCGCCCCAGGATGGCATGCAATCTGATATGGGCTCTACTTATACATTCTTATTAAGCATATTTTTCCATTAGTCATAATGTAAAGAACAATTAGAACTAATGGGAGGAACCACAAGAATAAAGCAATAAAACAAAAAGCAAAGGAAAAGGAGAGCAAATAGTATACTTCCATCTGCATTCAGACTCCATAGTTCTTTCTTTGGATGTGGATAGCGTTTTCCATCTTGAGTCATTTGGAGTTGTCTTAGATTCTTGCATTGCTAAGAAGAGCCAAGTCTATCAAAGTCAGTCATCTTACAACGTGGCTGTTAACTGTGTACAGTGTTATCCTGGTTCTGCTCATTTCACTCAGCATCATGTAAGTCTTTCCAAGTTTTTTTGAAGTCTGCCTGCTCCTCATTTCTTATAGTACAATAGTATTCCACTACATTCATATACCACAACTTGTTCAACCATTCCCCAATTGATGGGCATCCCCTCAATTTCCATTTCTTTGCCACCACAAAAAGAGCTGCTATAAATATTTTTGTATATGTGGGTCCTTTTCCCATTTTTATGATCTCTTTGGGATACAGACCTAGAAATGGTATTGCTAGGTCAAAGGGTATGCACAATTTTATAGTCCTTTGAGCATATTTCCAAATTGCTCTTCAAAATGGTTGGATCATTTCACAACTCCACCAACAATGAATTGGTGTTCCAACTTTTCCACATTGAGAAGAAAATAGTCTTCTCATCTATTTTGCTGTGAAGAGACTTGAGGCTGATTGGACAAAGCAGAAACCCCCGCTATTTGCAAATCCAAGGAGTTTTGCAGTTAGAAGAGGCTGACTAGCT